CATTTCGAGCTTAAAAATTTGTTCGTGTTCGACTCGTTAGGCTTAACGAACGAGCCGAACACGAGCTGCTTAACGAGCCGAACACGAGCTGTTCACGAACAACAAGCCAAATTGACAACCCTAATGCCGCGATCCTGTTGTTGGTCTGAATCGGGATCGTAAAAATTGGCTTGAATATAGGGCTTTCCAATAAGCTTAACTCATCGGTCTTCACAGGATACAAAAGATCCGTCATCCCCTTCCCAACAAGCTCTTGTCACGACTTTATTGATTCACAGCTAGCTCTATCGCGCTGTATTGTAGTCATCACCCTTCTGTACTATCATCAGATTAGGTCACGATGGCGTTTCTTGTGTGCTGCGATCCCGTCAGCCTTCCCTTTAACCCACGTTCCTGTTAGTCTTCCTCGTAAGCACCAATCATGATTGCCTTCCTTGTACCCCACCATCCTGTAGGCCTTACTCGCACACTAATCACAACTGCTTCACGAGGACAGAGGGAGAGGAGGTGAACAAAGTTTCAGGTCTTTGTAATCAGCGATCCCGTTATTTGCCTTCTCCGCAATATTAAAGTTTTGGGTTTCTGTAAGCCGCAAGCTCGTTTTTATCTTTTCTGCAAGCTTGATTGCAACCGTATTGTCCGACGTGACCCTGTCGTTGCTTCCAGGCGATCTCATAGTCTCTTCTCTGCTAGCTCGATCACACTTTATCTCTTTTTGTCCTCCCCGATCACAATTGTATGTGAACTTCTGCATGATTCTTTTCTTTTCTCCAAGAGCTACGATCCTCTTTTGTGAGCATATAACCTTCTTTTCTTTTCAGATTTTTAGATCGACGATTTGATACAAATATAATACGGTCTGATGTTAAAATCGACACGCTTTTCCCATAAATTAGGGCAACCAAAAATTTTATTTCCCGAACACCAAATCAGAGCAATATAACACTAATAACTCACCTAAATACAAAAGATAAGCACCTACAATTTGAGAGGCAGGCATCATCTCTTAATTCCTATAATTCAAGATGCTGAAAATCCTTCCCAAACCCTAAATCTATGATACGAGATTCATTCTCATGTATGTCCAACCGTAATCTTATTAGGGCCTATTTATATCAAACCCTAATAATAATGAAAGATCAAATTGCCCTCAGGCTAATTAAAAGATGAAATTACCCTTAAGCTAGGCCGACGTAACAACTTGTTAATGATTTTACTGGATAAGGATTTTGAGTCCGCATGAGTAAATTTCTAGATTCATGTCGAGAGTTGAATTATGCAAGGTATGGAGATCTTTAACACCTAGTCCTTCAACTTTTTTTTTTTTCTTAACACGTTTTTCTGGTTAAACAAGAAGAAACCTTTACGTTCTGCATTTTCTTTCCATAATGAACTTCTTTTGATCCCATCAATTTGAT